TCCGACAGCTGCTCTGACCTGTTTAAGGCTGCAACACTTGCCACAGATACAGGGTCAGAGTACAATGCGGAAACGGCTCAAGTGGAGAGCTATCAAAAGTTGACGACAGCAGAATCTGTATTGGATACTAGTGTATTCCTCGTGAAGCCAAGTGACTGTGTCTCCGACACTAGAACCCTTCGACATAGTTTGCAATGCAATTGTGGTCCCGTTGGGAAGGAAGCCAGTCTGAAGATGTTATTTGTAACAATCGATTGTTTGTATATTTGTGTCTCTTCTATGTAAATGATCGTAAACAAAGATTTGACATGCGTTTATCGGCATCTATTTACGTACGAATGGGTTACGGTAAGATGACTGAACAGGCGTGTCCCTGACCTTGTGTACCCTGATGTGGTCAAGGTCATGTCGGCGCTCACCTCACAAAAGTCACGTGAACGAGGTCACCATGCGGTCTTAAAAACTGTGTCGTTTGGTAGATTGGTTCATTTGTTCTTGATATAAAGGTCCCTAACTCTGGAGTCGTTGTTAAAACTAGTTAACTGTGCACATGATGAATGGAAAATACTATAGACAAGTTTGATGCCAGAGATTGCTAAGTTTATAAAATGTGTCATCAATACGTATGTTTACTCCAGGTATAGTCTGTGTTATGATACCATATGGTACGTCATTTGGATCAAAGTATTTTTTGTGCAAGGTTTCATTAGTTTCAAATTTTAAGAATTTTGGAAGAAAAAAATCCCGTATGAGAGTTTTCATTTATTACTCTTATGGCATAGATATGTAAATGAAAATGTGTGTTGCAATAATAAAAAGCAATGTTGTAAACAGTATCATACGACTTTTCCAACGGGTCAAGGTAAACATAAGTCAATAGGGATTTACATGTTTCAGAATCTTCCCAACTTATATCATTTTGTTTCTGTCTTGATAAAGGGGCGGATCGCCATGAAAATTTTACAGATTTCTTTGCACTGTCGTGTCGTTATAACTTCTTTGCTTTGTTTGTTTGTTTGTTTGCCCAAAACTGATTTTCCCGATGCTGACGATCACATTTTCAAAGTTCGGATGTTTAAAAAGTATAGTGTGTTTGCATACATTTAAATGTTCAACAGGGTCCTTTCTATAAATCCATAATTTCGTGTCAAATACATAAATAATGAGTTTTTCGAAGTGAAGCAGACACCATTTGCAATGATTTTCCGGTTAATAGAAAAATGGATTACATGTAATGTCCTACAAGTGGAATACAAGCAAACTCCGTATCATTTCGTTCCGTTTGAAATTATCACTGTTACTTTGTATCAACCCAGGAAGCCATATTGTAGAAGTAGGTCAGAGAAGTGCTACAACGACATGGACATGTATTTTGAGTGTTATATCCCGTAATATACTATATATTTGTGTCTGTGGCATACATATGAGATCTATATTATATGAACCATGAGTAGACGTCGTTGTCATGAACTGCTAACCACCTAAGTGATTGTTTCAAGCCGATTTTGTTCCGCCCGGATTTCGGGCGGAATCTGCATCAAAGAATTAATGCTTCGGAAAGAAGAGGTCGCAGTCGGCAAAATCATATCCGATAGAAAAAGGCCGACCAGCGGCCTCTTATGTTATAGGAGTATTCGGATCCAGTGCCCATATTTGAACATATTGTCGTTATTACTTACTATATAAGAACTATATAACAGTGTATACCCGAAACTAAATATCAAACAATTTCATATTTGTTGTAATGCATTGGGAATATGAAGTGCTAATCAGGTGAGCGATAAGTGATATCGCAAGCAATTTGATATTCCACATACAGTCCGAGTTCACTGAATAACAATAGCGTTTAGGTTTGACAATGCGTAGAATTACATTCTTATAACTAGCATTTTGGTTGTATTTGCTCGGTTTTGTAATTACGTGTTAGTTAATTTCACCATTGACAGTATTATCTATTAGCCATTATACAATCAGTGTGACAAATACTGCAGGTTTGTTATTCACATGTAAATGTCCCCGAAATATGTCAGAGAGTGTTACAGATATTGATGTTGTTATCGTTATCAAGCTGTAGATAACCCGGCGCTGTGAGCTCTGATCAGTCTACCTGACAGTCCCGTACCTGTTCCGGATACCGAGGCTGATACGTATGATCATGGCTGTAGGTGAATTTTGATTTGTAATTTCTTAACTACATTTGCCTTGTTATACTGGATACCATGTCTCATTGAAGAATCACGAATTCTTGTAGAATGTCACGAGAATCTAGATTGTGGATTATCGGACTTTCAGAAATGGAGTGTTGAGGTTAAAAGATACTAATGGATTTGGACACGTCGAGGTGTCGTTATATTGGGATTATATCGGGTAATAATGTTAGAATTGTGACAGTGGTATTGGAATTTTAACAGTATGAGAGACGTTAAGGTAGTCTTGCTGTATAGTTGGATTAGAGTGTGGTCCAGTAGCAGTGAGGAATGTTTCCAGACTGACACTTTCCTTACGTTTATATATAACAAAATGTCGTAGACAAATGTATTTATATATGATGTGATATTGTATATATAATGTGATTTTATACTTACTGATAAGTATACCTTACTGTATCATATATAATATGTTATACATTGCTGCATTATATATATTATATTGTTATACCTTATGATATCATATATAATATGTTATACATTGCTGCATTATATATATTATATTGTTATACCTTATGATATTGTATATAATATGAAACTTTATTATTAGGCCTATATACAATGTTATACACTACTAATAACAAAAAAAAGGATATAATATATAAGATGAAACTTTATAATTAGGCCTATATACAATGTTATACCCTACTAATAACAAAAAAGGATAATGTTATGCTTTGCTATAACATCCAAAATAATGATTTACGTTACTGTGTTATATAACAGAATGTCAAACTTTACAGTTTTACAAATAATATAATGACATACGAATCTGTGGCTATAAATGGTAGTTTAGATCAAACACCTGTTGCTTTTAGTGTCAGTAAATTTACTGTGGAATTGTGAAATATTTTGAGCCTTGTCATCGATGTACTATTCCTGAAATGACGAAATACCCCGCGTTACATCCTGGTTCGTTAGAGGGTTGGCTCTGGTTTGATTATAAGTTTGTAAAAAAAATACTGAACAGCTTTACGTTATTTAATATGTACGAACGACAGTGATAATACACATGTGTAACCTGTTACACGTAAATGAAAGAGACGATACACGAGAAAATATGACATTTAGGATGATCTAAGAAAACCTAACCCGAACTGTTTGTAGAACCAATGTTATAAGGACAGGAATGTAAAGCCCTATACTAGGACAAACAACTATTGAACGGTTTGAGAGCCGTTACTTATCCTCCTATGTATGTATAGAACAACAATTCGTTACAGAAGATTTAAAATTTGATAGAAATTGTATCTGTGGAGAGAACCTCGGAGATGGAAAAGCTTCATGTTGAAGATGGCCTGACTGTAACTGAGTATTTCCATGAAGGGACTTAAATCTTTCCTTCCCGCTAAACATTACTTGTTAAACTTAAGTACATTTTACAGCATTTTCCGCCTCTGTGGTTGATTAATCTGGCGGATCCTAATGACACTAGGAGGTAGAGAAGTGTTGAGAGAAGTCAGTGATTACGTGCAAGTTGTGAAATAATTGGGAGTGGTCCCTGCTGAACTCCATTCTTTATCAATTAAACACAGAAAGTAGTGAATTGTATTGTGAAAAGAAACCTTCCACGCTGGAGTTGTTAGAACGTTAAAGGCACATATTACTAAGGGATTCAATTTGTTATTAAACTCCGTCATTACAACATGTGATAAGCTTGGACCTGATATAGCTCAACCCTCAGCATTCATGAATGCTGTACAACAATGCATCTCAATACCGATACATTGCTTTGTAATTGATTGTGATTTCTTGACTCTCTTCTGAATTTGTGTATGAGGTGTATGACGAGCTTTAAACACCACGTACATAATTGACTACAACTGACATTAGTCGTACATGCTAACACGATTTGTCTGTCTTCTAAAACACTCTCCCGCTGTTATAAACATGCACAATATCCAATGTCTCTGTCTTCTGAAACACTCTCCCGCTGTTATAAACATGCACAATATCCAATGTCTCTGTTTCAAGGTTTCTTATGATCAATGCGCAATGCGATTTCAAAGAGCATGCTTTTAGAATTTTCAGAAAGGAGAATAGATCCTTATGTCGGTATCGGGGGCGTCACTTCTTGTTAAAATAGTTTAAAACTTGATCCTTTTCAACATATATATTTAGTTGTTATCTCCAATTGATTCTAGCTGAGTTCGTTCAGTAATTTTAAACTATCAACGAAAATCAACGATCAGGACGAGCCAAACAGATGTGTGAGGGTAATATCGTTAGGTTAGGCGGTTCGTGTAGTGTTTTATGTTTTATCTAGTTAGTCCTCACTCGTGGCCTCACCACACAAATGTACATGGCTTAAGCACCTTAGACCTTTTCCAAGTGTTGATGGCTTTAAGTGACGTAGATTATTGTCTTCACTGCAGACTGACTAGAGGGACCCATTAGGGCCAGACACAACGTTATCATAAGCTGATCTATATAATCCGTTCGACCATTGTGTAGAGTGTTCTGGGTACATTGCTGTGATCCTCTGCCGAGGCTTTGTTTATAGTTGGTATTCTGTCTCTGAATCACTCATTATAAGGGACAACTAGAAATGTCACTGCACCATGTCCCGGATAATTTAACATGCCAAACAGACGCTACAGTTCACAGGATATAGCCGACCTGACGCTACAGTTTACAGGGTATAGCGAAATGTCACACGTTGATGTACCTTGAAATACAAAAGTTAGATTCAGTTCCTCAGTTTTTGTTTTCAGATGTAAACAAAAAAATCGTTACTCGTATGTTTGTTGCGTTTGTAAGAAGATGACTAGTTTTATTTTCTGTTTCTCACAGGTCCTAAATGATTGCGGTCACGTGGGACGCTAAAAACAAGATGTACCGGGAGGAAGAAGGCGCCCGGAAGTGGGTCGTGGTGGTGGCCGCCTTCTTTGTCCAGTTTATAATTTGCGGGATCACGTACAGTCTCGGTATATTTCATCACGTGTTTCAGCAAGTGTTTGAGCACGACCACTTTGATACGTCATGGGCGGGGTCCATCCTCTTGTATGTGACCGCTATCACCAGTAAGTCTGCTGTTTACAGTGATGTGGACAGGAATCTCCCACCTCAAGGGAGGAGTTCGTCCTCAAATAGGAGACTCTGTCGATGTTTAAACTGTTAAAATCCGATAACTACACCTGAAATTTCCTGTCTGCATTTAACAATTATTATTATTTCTTCTTAATACTTTTTAAGCCTAACGTTATTAACAATTCTTTATTATAGAAGGCCACTTTGTCAAAAATAATACTGTATCTGAAAACTGATAACGTGATTATATCTTGGTGTAGTTGTGTTGCATAAAGCATTGAAGTTGCCCTTTGGTGGTTTGGTGACATATCCATGGTAAAGGGGAGGGGATAATACCTTTTTATCGTTGATCCTGTCATAGGTATAATTATATATGATGATTGATACCAACACAAATGCAATTGTTTCTGCTAAGTACGACGCAAAAATTGACTTTGTTTTTGTGTTTCCAGGGTACCGCTAAATGAAGTAATCATATTACATAATAGTCAAGAAAGGATTTTGTATGAAGCGTATTTCATGTGGGGAAGTCTGAATCGCCATGATTATGACTTTTGGGTGTGTTGCTGGTTGGGGGAAGGCTGATACAATAAGTTGATAATATGTGGTTATGTTGCTGTAAGATTAAAACGTTATGTTACTATTTGGGTAAGACTGAAACGTTATGTTACTATTTGGGTAAGACTTAAACGTTATGTTGCTATTTGGGTAAGATTGAAACGTTATGTTGCTATTTGGGTAAGATTAAAACGTTATGTTACTATTTGGGTAAGACTCAAACGTTATGTTGCTATTTGGGTAAGACTTAAACGTTATGTTGCTATTTGGGTAAGATTGAAAAGTTATGTTACTATTTGGGTAAGACTGAATCGTTATGTTGCTATTTGGGTAAGATTGAAACGTTATGTTACCATTTGGGTAAGACTGAAACGTTATGTTATCATTTGGGTAAGACTGAAACGTTATGTTGCTATTTGTGTAAGATTAAAACGTTATGTTACTATTTGGGTAAGCCTGAAACGTTATGTTACTATTTGGGTAAGACTGGAACGTTATGTTGCTATTTGGGTAAGACAGAAACGTTATGTTACTATTTGGGTAAGCCTGAAACGTTATGTTACTATTTGGGTAAGACTGAAGCGTTACGTTGCTATTTGGATAAGAGTGAAACGTTATGTTCCTCTTTGGGTAAGACTGAAACGTTATGTTGCTATTTGGGTAAGATTGAAACTTAATGTTACTATTTGGGTAAGACTGAAACGTTATATTACTATTTGGGTAAGATTGAAACGTTATGTTACCATTTGGGTAAGACTGAAACGTTATGTTATTATTTGGGTAAGACTGAAACGTTATGTTTCTATTTGGGTAAGACTGAAACGTTATGTTGCTGTCTGAGTAAGGATAACTATTACTGTGTATTGAAGGTGTGGTGATGCGCTGTTTTATGAAATCGTTCGGATGTCGGATCAGCGTCATGTTGGGTGGGGTACTCTCAGCCACCGGCCTCGCTCTTGGGATGGTCGTGACTGACCTCTACCAGGTGTACTTGACCTATGGGGTACTCACAGGTAAGTAATAATATGCCAGGGTAAATAAACGTTAAACAACCCAAAACAATCTATACTTTTATTCGAACCTTGGAGTTATTTAATTACAGTGATCACATGTATACATGCAGATACAGGAGGTTGTTGACATACATATTAGCAGACCTTGCCCTCACTAGTGATAACATAATGTATGTGGTTAGTGATATCTCTACAGTATCGTGTACAGTGTATGTGGTTATATTGACCTTTGCACTTTAACTATGACTATTACACCTTACACCTTTAACAAAATCAAAACCAATCGATAACAGTCTGATGACCTATATACGAAAACATTTTTGCTGCATTTTAACTTTCGCGTTTTTTTGCTCGCGGTAATGAGGGCGAATTTATTATTACATGAAACCTTAGTAAACAACATTATATTGATAATAATAAAATGTGACTGCGAAATAAACACTGGGTGAATACTGATTATTCTGGCGAAGGGCGGATGTTGACTGGGTGAACATGTCCTGGTATATAGCATGAAGTGACCCCTGATCGTCATGCATTTAATTTTTATACATTAAAAAGGGAAATCCTTTTGATGACGTTCGCTTGTTCAGTCGAAGCCCGTATATTATCATCCTAATATAATTTTAATAATTCACGATACCCCGGTCCACTTTCATAATAGTGTTTCTGTGATTGGTTCCAGTTGTGTAAAGTAGAATGGTTATTACTGTAAAAGTGAAAAGTGTCGTGTTAGGAAATGGTAGCGTTGTGACTTATACAGCTGATCGGTGTGTGGAAACCTTAGCGTTGGTAGTGTTTCTGAATTCTTTATATTTCATATATCTATGATCTGAATTTTCACAACGCGAAAATGTCCACTTTCCATATACTTCACCTGATCACTTGAGGAGGAATATACTGCATAACCACTGACGCCCGAGGTTGCTTATATTATTACTTTTAAACCGACGATTTCTATCATTTTGATTTGACGGCGATATTTCGGCCTTGGTCAGTTTTATTTTATGGCAACAAATCGACCCTTACAGGGCTTTCAGTTGACCTTTGACATTTAGCAATTGCAGAAGTCAAATTATTTTTTCCTTAATGGTGGAGGTACAAAACATTTGTCAAATAGACCTGTCCTAACTCAAAAGTCAAATGNCCCACAACCACACCCACACCCACAACCACACGTCCACACACATCTACATGTACATACATAATGAGGGGAGTGATAACGAAATACTTGAACACATTATAATACAATTGTACATGCATACATAATCAGTAATACTTAATACTAAATTACTAAAGACCATACTTAAATACTAAATACTTGAACACATTATAATACAATTGTACATGCATACATAATCAGTTATACTTAATACTAAATTACTAAAGACCATACTTAAATACTAAATACTTGAACACATTAAACGTTTTCACGTTTCCTCGCAGCATAGTATAGGTATTTCCCAGTGTTACATAGTTCTTTGACATTATTTACACTCAAAAGTTTTATTAATTTGAACACTTGGATTTCTGTAGTAAAATTCTGTTATATATCTAATCCTTAACTCTTTATAAAATGAACACTTCAATATGAAATGATACTCTACATCACCGTCAGTACATCTGTTACACAATCTATTTTCTCTACCAATATTTCGAGGTAATCTAAACCTAGTCTTCGGTCTTCTTTCTGTCCTTTGTCACTCTTTGTGTTGCTGTTTTACAGGTATCGGTTATTCGGTTTTGGCCCTGACCACTCTTTGTATTTGTTTTTGTACAGGTATCGGTTTTGGCCTGGCGTGCACACCCTCTATCATGATAGTGGAACAACACTTTTACGAGGGTCGGTTTGAGGCCCTGAGTGTTGTGTTAGGAGGGGTCGGGGCTGGTATGATTACATTCCCTATTATCATCCGTACCATGCTGGAGTACATGGCGTGGAGGGGCACCCTCTGGATGTTAGCTGGGTGTGCTTTAAACATTTGTGTGTGTGGTGCGCTCATGAAGCCCGCCAAGAACGCCAAGGAGATGCAGTTGATGCCCCAACTATCGTGTGTCCCCTTACGGAACGTTATATTCCTGGGGATGTGTATTGCCAACTTATTCTGGAGCTTTGGGTCCACTATCATCTACATGTACCTGCCCTCTTACTCCTTGGAGCAGGGCACGGACTTTGGACTGTCCAGTTTCCTCATCGCGTGCGTTGGCATGTCCAGTTTTACGTCACGTATGATATTCGCCTTTATGGGTAACAACAGCACCTTGGACGATATGACGTCACTGCTTTGTTCGGTGGGGCTTGGCGTCGTTGTGACTGGGATTTGTCCCATGCTGTTTGATGACTTTGCCGGACAGATCGGCTATACTCTACTGTTCGGATTCTACAGTGGGTATTGGACAACATTTCTATCACAATCTGCTCGTGAACTTGTTGGACCAGAATATATTGCCATGGGCAACGGATACTTGTCTTTCATGATCGCCCTTGGATCTCTAATGGGTGGACCCGCAGCAGGTAACTATTTCTTATTTACAGTGTTAAGGTTACTTTTCTGTCAAGAAGCCAAATCACAGTAATTTTACCATACATCATTAACATTACAAAGTGAATGTAATTTTGATGTCTAAGACAGAGTTTGTTTTAAATTTTTGTTATCTTTGAAAACCTGTCATGCAAATAATGAAAGACCGAGTATTGAAATATGTAAGGTGGTATACTATATAAGAAGGTGGGTTTTTTTGCAAATTAATACAATTTCCTGATTTATGTGATTAAATTTCTCATTAGTTAATGTCCAATACAATATTTAGACATTGTAAACATAAAAAAATGTGTATTCATATTTTAGGTCTGTTGGTACAAGAGGAGAACGAGTTTAAATATGTGTTTTACCTGGCAGGTAAGTAACTTCGCTGAACCTGTTTTATAATATTGATTACAATGCCCATCTTCTCCTGACTTATGTAATATCTATTCCCGTATTTGACGTAATTATGATGCGGGCGCGTATAAATGACAAGTGTGACGTGTATTTGAATAAGCAACATTCCTCGTAGCTTGACTATTTTACAACAGCAGCAGAAACATAAATGTCTGTTAAAATATCACATCCCACGTGGATCATCAATAAAGACAATTGTCATCCTGAAATAATGCAGTGTCACTGTTATGATCCGTTGTAGTGTTTTAGTTCAATACGTGTACATGTATGAAAGCTTATTTTTCTGAGAAACGTTGTCTAACTTACAAAACCAACCAGAAGGCATCCGGAAATTGTAAATTCCGGACGAGAAAGTCTGGAAGATTAAAATAAGCACATTGAGTTACGGTACATTTCTTAAACCTATTTTGGCGACGTGTTTAGAGGTCGCCCTAATTACCTCTTATACCGGTATTTACCCAGAGGAAGGATAGCATGCAGTGTGGACTCCTTGTCCATCGGTGACTTAATGTATTGCAGTGTATTCAAAATGATTAATTCTTCACTTTTACAAGTAAAATATTAATATATAAGCAGCAAGCAAAAAGTGCTTTTGCCGGAGTTAGATACACAGATACAGGGTATTGTCCCTGTTCGCTAGAAATATAGCTTTTCAGAACTTTTAGGGGGAACAAAGTCTAATTTCAGACATGACCAGAACTAATTATAAAATATCATTGACTTATACATGTACTATTTCAGTTTTATGGAATGAATGAAGTACTTATTGAAAGCAATAAAAATGTAGGCTAGCTCCTTAATATGGTTGATTGGGACAAAAATAATATTCGTGCATGTGTGTATTACGTGATGGATGGTTATCAACTGATGAAAAGGGTTATTGCATCACCATCGCTGTAAAATGTCCAGAATCCCGCAGGGCCCCCTACATATGATACTCTAACTTTTCCCTGCGCCAAAGAGAACCTGTACTATTGGCCGAATAAGTATTATGTTAATCGCATTTCACATGTTCCTTCTATTATCCAACAGGTTCATGTCTGCTTTGGAGTTCCATTATAATGATGTTGTTTAAGTACCAGAAGTGCGGCTATCTGACCATGGGTAGCGAACGAGAGGACCGTCATTCACACGAACAAAAAGTCCCCCTCGTCGACATGTTGGATGACAACAAGGACAAAGGCATAAATCTTAACGAAAAAGCGGTGTTCGTGTAAGTGGTCACGTGATTGTGTTTGGTGTGACGAATAAGGTAAATAATCTGTTTTCATATAATACTTCCGGTGCACTGATATACCCATCCTAACCCTGTGCCAACAAGACGTCTCGGTTACGACAGGCGCAACTTTCGGCTCCGGACAAAAACAGATTCAGTGAGTTTCTATTGAAGATTAAGAAACTGTCTGTAACCGAGATTGTTCTCTGCAAAGCATTTTATACCCAAATAATCTAGCATCTAACGGGGATGGATACAGAGGCGTCTAACAGTAGGTCAAAACATTAACGTAGACTTATAGATCTTCGACTGGTGTGAGATCACTATCGGGTCGGAAATAACGCCAATACCAAGGATATTACACACCAATAATATTATAACTTCCAGTTACGCTACTGCTGCCACAGACCTAGCACCATTAACGACCAATACCGACACGCTGTCCTAACTCAACGGGACATGGTTGTCCTTACACCCGTCAACTTAGTGATGCACCTATCTGCAACAATGCTTAATCACTTTTGCTCTTTTGTAATGCAGTAAATAACTTCTTCCTATTCTTAGATTGTAAAAAGATTGTGACATTTTGATACTGATATCAAGAACGGTCTGAAATGGTCACTTATGTATAAGTCACAATGCGACACAATATGCTATGCAGAGAGGATGGGCAACCGGTACCACTGTCAGTGATAAATGTATGAAGTTGTACCTATTAGGATGAATAACATATGAATTATAGTGAGGAATGCATTGTTATAAAATAGTGGATAGCAAAAGAGATTTAGGAGATCAAAAATGAACAAACCAAAGACACAAATATAAGCATACCAGTACATGCAAAGTTCTCAAATCAAAGCTCTCCGATATTGACCAAATGGACCTCATAAACAAATAAATGATTTTGCATTCTTAACGCCGAAAGGTATTTGCAATACATCTCGATTATCTTTCCAAATAAGTAATACTAGTGTAGACAAGTGGTCAAAGGTGTATAACGTCACAGTAACGTGAATGTGTCGATGTTCATGACTTAGTGCCAGACAGGACCTAACAAGGGTGTATAACGTCACAGTAATGTGTATGTGTCTATGTTCATGACTTAGTGCCAGACAGGACCTAACAAAGGTGTCTAACGTCACAGTACCGTGTATGTGTCTATGTTCATGACTTAGTGCCAGACAGGACCTAACAAAGGTATCTAACGTCACAGTAATGTGTATGTGTCTATGTTCATGACTTAGTGCCAGACAGGACCTAACAAAGGTATCTAACGTCACAGTAACAGGTATGTGTCTATGTTCATGACTTAGTGCCAGACAAGACCTAACAAAGGTATCTAACGTCACAGTAACGGGTATGTGTCTATGTTCATGACTTAGTGCCAGACAGGACCTAACAAAGGGGTATAACGTCACAGTAACGTGTATGTGTCTATGTTCATGACCTAGTGCCAGACAGGACCTAACAAAGGTATCTAACGTCACAGTAACGTGTATGTATGTTCATGTTTTAGTGCCAGACAGGACCTAACAAAGGTGTATAACGTCACAGTAACGTGTATGTGTCTGTGTTCATGTCTTAGTGCCAGACAAGACCTAACAAAGGTATCTAACGTCACAGTAACGTGTATGTGTCTTTGTTCATGACTTAGAGCCAGACAGGACCTAACAAAGGTGTATAACGTCACAGTAACGTGTATGTGTCTATGTCCATGACTTATTGCCAGACAGGACCTAACAAAGGTATCTAACGTCACAGTAACGTGTATGTGTCTGTGTTCATGTCTTAGTGCCAGACAGGACCTAACAAAGAAGGTGTATAACGTCAGAGTAACGTGTATGTGTCTATGTCCATGACTTAATGCCAGACAGGATCTAACAAAGGTGTATAACGTCACAGTAACGTGTATGTGTCTATGTTCATGACTTAGTGCCAGATAGAACCTAACAAAGGTATCTAACGTCACAGTAACGTGTATGTGTCTATGTTCATGACTTAGTGCCAGACAGAACCTAACAAAGGTATCTAACGTCACAGTAACGTGTATGTGTCTATGTTCATGAGAAAGTGCCAGACAGGACCTAACAAAGGTATCTAACGTCACAGTAACGTGTATGTGTCTATGTTCTTGACTAAGTGCCAGACAAGACCTAACAAATAAATGTCTTCTTTCAGACATGAAAATGGCGAAGCAAATGGGAAACCATAATATGGTAGGTTCTGTATTGTGAAGTGTCACCATAGATACCGTCTGTTGTTCTAGACCTTGTCGTAGATGTTGTTAGTTTATGCATGCATATATAGTATACATTATACATATAAAATGTATATATATATATAGTATTTATAGAAACTAATCTTTTGATGCTATGCTTTTCCTAACATTAGTTGTGTGTCTGTATCCAGGAGTTGGTTGATAAATATCACAAAGTTCTAATGGTGCTAACATGGATACCATACATACATCTGAAATAAAGTTTGACCAATACATCCAGTATAAAAAAAAATGGTCTTTTGTTAGTGAGAATTTTCTACTTTCGTTATCTCAGTGTTTATTTTGAAAAATAGAAAGAAAGGGAAAAAAGGAGACCAATATTTCATGTTCAAGATTGCAAACACAGTCGGAATTATTGATTTATCCGTTCAATATTTGTACATGGAAATTGTATAGTTGTCACAAAGTGCAGCTAACGGAATAGTTTAATATAAAGCATCAGGCAAAACGATACTATTTGAAGCTAATGAGGGTATATACATAAGACTCGCTTTCAATGGGTGCTTTATTGGCGGTGTCTGATGTTCTTACGCAACCAACGGTGGATTCATCAGACCTGAACATATCATTAAACATAATAAGCAAACTAAAATTCAGCAATACCCGTCGTATTGACTCGAGTATAGATTCCAACACTTTCTATCACATTATACAATACGTGATGATCTTTGTGTGTTTATTTCGCTACGTTTGTACCGTATCATATGACACCTGTATACAAATGTGTTGAACCAGTGACTTTAGTAACTACAGAATAATAACGAATATCAGAACGAAAGAAACGCAACGTATCTGTCCGCTTTGTAGCATTTTGTAATATCATTCGATAATGTTTAGCCTTTAAATTGCTAAATCTAATTCTGAGCACGAAAATATCTTAAGTAAAACACGTGTAATACGAATGATCCGTGTGTGAAAGTTCATTTAACTTAATCGTAAGTTGTGTGTTCGCCAGGGAGATTACTTGTGGCCAAATGTAATTAAAGAACAGTTTCATGATAAGACATAATCTGTCTTAAGAGTCATACATTGTCTATCACTGCTGATAGTTTTTGACTAAAGATATGTTGAAAAAATATCGTGTTTAAAATAACAATAATGTGTGAAAGTTAAAAAACAATAAGTGTTTTATGTTACTTTTTCTACGCGCATCATATTTAATTTCAACGATAGTTTTGTGAATTGTATCCACTAGAACGAGTTAAAACAATGTCTCCCTCTAAATGGTTCACTGTTGCCCGAATTTTAGGAATGTAGCAATAAAGTTATACAGGCAGATTGTAAGCTCAAAAGATATTTCCTCTTGGTTAAAACCAGATTCTTTAATGTTTTATGGCTCGTAATATATAGCTTGTTTAACACCACTGCAACAATATTTAACTCGGTCCATCAATTTCTCTGGATAAAATGGAGAAAGTCGGACGTCAAACTACTATCTATGGTCATGTTTAAGTTTATCTTAGGATTTCATGGTTTACGTGTAAATTTTGTTGTAAACTCGATGTTCAGTCCGCTTGATATACTAGAAATATGCTTATATTCGTTTTCAGTGAAGTTGTAAGATGCTCCAAGTCACTGTGCTGTAAAAGCTATTATCACTGGTCATATCAAGATTTATTTTCACATCAGTTTAGAAATTTACATGTGATTTCTAATTGAAATTATCTAATAAGAAATATACGGGGAAATATTATACAAATAGCAGGCATACAATGAGATAAACACAAATGTTAATTGGCTTGCAACTCTCGAATCCTTTCCAGCTATCGGTCAGTAAGGCATATTAGCAAACCTATTAATAAGCGATACCAGCGCCTTGCCTCCATCTCTATTGATTGTGGAGAGTATGTGACGATAACATTATCGAGAATAAAACTCGCCTTTCGATATTATGCAATAAAATAAATATATTAAAAAAAACCTACAACAAGTCATGAAAGATGATAGGGAAGAGGCACTTCACATCCATAGCATGAACTGTTCATCATTTGAGCCTTTAGATCAGTATACATGTGTATGGTTAATTGGTAATGAGAAATAATGGGACGTAAAATTTAGACCTACTATGTACTCTGCACTAGCTTCTCTTGCTTACATTATGTGCACATTTTGGTATACATTAATCTGTTGTTGTTGTTTTGTAATTCAACACTTTTGTATCTTGGTATCCTGTTGTCCCGTGCGAGCCAGAAGTAGTCGTTTAGAAAGAATACTATCTTTTCTCTCATTTCCCTGTGTGTAAGATAGAGCTGTCCAAAGTAAGAAAGGGGTGTAGGAAATTTTGTATCTTACTCCCCATTTCACTTGACGTGACGTCACAATGGCTCAACAATGACATGACGTCACGAATTTTGAACTCCACGATGCCGCAATGCGGAAGAGACGACGTGATGAAATTAAAACCTTTTACGATATATTTGCCGTACATGTTCGAAAGATGTGATTAGTTTTCCTGCGCAAACCATGTTTGTCAATAAGGGATATGCTAAATACGGCTGGCTAATTCGTTTTCGTCTAAAAAGCTCAGGGGGATTGATATTTTTAAAATTGTTGCCGGTCCAAACGCATTAACATGGTTTCTGAGCTAATTCTAGTGATTGGAATGAGAGAAAAATACTCTTTCATGCCAAAGGGTGTAGGATAGGGAAATTACACCCTCGGGATTTTCAAATTTGGCAAAACCAAATTTGAAAATCCCTCGGGTGGAATTTCCCTATCCTACACCCCTGGGCATGAAAGAGACTTATAATATCGCTATTATATATGAAGGCTTCAACATTACAGTAGCGTCAGGAGTTGTATACACTGTTACCTGATATTAGTACTGTCCTTTACTTTACCTTATGTTTTATTCAGTTCTACTTGGATCTAATGTCTATTCGGTGTTGATGGGCCGTTAAGAATCCAACAACTAACTAACTGTTAAATTAAATTCAGATTAAAAGCCAAATGTTCCTTTTTTTATTATGCTTCAAGCTGCAAATATTTACTGTTTATTTCTTTTAGTTCACCCCAAGGTATGCACAATTTCATTTGGTCATCCAAAGCAGAAAAGTGTATTGACTGGTGTTGTGACATGGGATAACTACAACGTTGTGGTATATTTTACAGGGACGCAATGGTAAGCTCGATCTGAAGACGGAGGCTCGACGTGAGAAGACCGACACTTTTGCTGCTAAATCAGACGCATTCTTTTTCTAGTCGACAGCGCTCGATTTAAAGTAAAACGTGTGAGGCCGTAACTCTCGGGAATAGACCAGTGGCCGTGACCAAGACTGTTGTGCAGTTGCAAGTTTTGCATTTCATCATTACTATGTGGTTTGTAGCATTCCAAAATTCATGTGTGTGTCTATTCAAAGTCTCTGTCCTGAATAGGAGTCAGAAAGGTCTGTGATAAATCAGATGTCATATTGTACATCATCTCATCCCTGACAGAACGATGGAACCAAGACGGTTTCCACAGATCAGCAGGAGTCACGGAATTATGTCTGTTTACTATTTGATTTTTATCCCGAAGCACATTTCTCGTTGGCGTTAATTGTCTCGTGTTCAAAAATCATTGTTATTTACATGGAAACATCTTTACCGGTTATGACCAAACACACATCCCAGAACGGTTCTACAGTTAGACCCAGATTCATAAGCATGTTAAATGTTTGGAAGAACTGCTCTCTGGACTCAGTTTTAGCAGCAGAAACTTATTCTGTTGAATATGTCTTTGAACTTTAATACTGGTTTCAGAAATATAGGATCATCGACAATTTACCCATGAATCGCCTACCTCTTCGATAAGTTTGGGACCAATAAGGAAAAAACTAATAACGTGAACAATTTCATATTTAACATCCATTTGTTGTGCATTAATTGTGATGATACAATCTAATTGACCTAAACATGAAATGTTAACGTCTTATCTTATCTGACAATGTCGATGATAACGTCACTGTTTGACCCAGGTGGGGTTAGTAGTTTGGCGTATAGATTAAACAAGTCAGTGATAATTGATAGAGGGTAGGCTTAGTGGAGCCGTTCCTTTATCAGTGGGGTGAATCTGACTGCAGCATGTAATAACAATTATATTCCTACGTACAACTAAGGCCCAAAGACCGAGATTAACAATAGCATATTCATTTTTTACTAGTAGTACTGATTTTTGAAAATCGTTAATTATGGATCATCGGTCTTATTTATGTATCATCATAGTGGTATTAGTGTGTGTGTGTGTGTGCGTGTGTTTGTGTGATTGATGGCTGGGTCACGGCGTATTTCTTGGGTTTTTAGGTCACCTGAGACTTTGTCTCAAGTGACCTATTGCGATCGCCTTTTGTCCGGCGTCGTACGTCGTGCGTCCGTAAACAATTTACATTTTCGACTTCTTCTCAAAAACTACTGTACCAATTGTAATGAAATTTAGCGGGAACCTTCCATGGCAAACGTTGAACCAAAAGTGTGAATTATATGGTCCCCACGTGGGTCCCCAGGGGCCTTAGGGGTGGGGCCAAAAAGGGTCAAATTGACTCAAATTTCAAAAATCTTCTTCTCTACACCCAGATATAGTAGAATCAAATACTCTTCATGGATGGAAGGGTCTTAAAGTACTTTACCAAAATTGTGAACTTCATGACCTCAGGGTCCCGCCTCGGAGGGGTAAAGTTTGATATAGTTTATATAGGAAAATGACATTTTGTGCATTATTTGTTGAATTTCCATTGGAAATCATTCAAACGTGGTTATAATTATAAGTATAGGTTGATGGTATGCACATACTGACCCCGGATGACCCCCAGGGGCTGATGGGCGGGGCCAAAAGGGGTGAAATTGATTTGAATTTCAAAAATCTTCTACTTTATACCTATATATGATAGAATCAAATACTCTTCATGATGGAAGGGTCTTAAAGTACTTAACCAAAATTGTGGAATTCAAGCCCTAGTGTCTCACATTTCTCGCTGGGGAGGGGTCAAGTTTAATATAGTTTATATAGGAAAATTACATTTTTGAGCATAATTTGTTTAATTTCCATTGGAAGTCATTCAAACATGGTTATAATTATTAGTACTATATGACAGTTTGATGGTAGGCACATATTGACCCTTGCTGACCCCCGGGGTTTGATTGGCGGGGCCAAAAGGTGTCAAATTGATTCAAATTTCACAGAAAATTCAATTTCTCTACGCATTCTCACCATGTGTTATATCACGCAGGGTGTAACAAACTGCTTTGAGAGATAATCGGAAAATATACGGCCTTTACACAACCTCACTTAAAACATGGCGGAAAGTATACGACCTTTACACAACCTCACTTAAAACATGGCGGATTGTATACGGTCTTTACACAACCTCACTTAAAACATGGCTTATTGTTATTTGTAATTTATCAAATAAGTAAATAAAATAGCAAGAAGGCTTACATCACAAAGCACATTCTTTTTTATCCAGTAGATATATGTTTCCCACGGTCCGAGTGGATACGTTTTGATATCGGCCATGTGGGGAGTACCTGTTAGCACAGTATCATTGTTACTCTCGAGAATTTCATCATTCCATTCATCACATTAATACCGTAAACCACTTCGTACTCGCGATGTAAATATTTTCCAGATAAATGTCGTTTGTTGATTTTAATTCAAGGAAGATTTATATATTGCTGTACTTATTTATGTTGCGAATTATAAGAATCCTTGCAATTATTTTGAAAAATCTAGTGGTTTGTAGTAACATTAATTATGATTTTTATTGTATGAAAAAGTTTGCCTGACAGTGATTATCTGATCAGTGTGTTCGCAATGTTTGTATAACCTGCAACGATCAATGCAATGTTCACAGTAGGCAGACCTCAGGAGATTATAAAATATTTAAAACACTGCCACACGCTGTTGTCCAGAATCTGTCATATAGCGGGAATTTCGTACCCCAGACAAGACTTTTTTCCCCTGGAAAGTATGGATTAGTGTGACAATATTACTATCTTTAAATTAAGATAAAATATGTTTTTGCCAAACGTTTCTTCCTCGGCATCAATGATTTTTAAGCACTTTATAATAAGATAATTACCAAATCGTCTTTGCCCACAGTTTTTAATGAAATCACGAAATTCGTTTTTTGGTGACGATTGTTTAAATAGAAACAGTAAAACCCTTGTTTATCTAAGCTGTATTAAGACATGAGTGTCGATAGTCTTCGCAGGATTTCTTTAGAAACATTGGCATAAAAATCCAGTGCTGGGGGGGAAAACACCGCTTTATTCCAGGTTTAACGCAGTAGTGTCACAGGGCATAGATCAGTCTGATCTACTCCGCGCTCTCTCTACTCTTGTAAGGTCACTGCGGCTTTCCCATCATCCTAACCTACTGATATCCTGACGGTTTTTCGACATTTTGTAAATACCTGTTTTGGAGACCAATGCATCATCGAACTTGGCTCGTGTTAATGTGGTTTAATTCTGATTGAAGTATTAAACATTTCGTTACTGAGACCGAGATCATCAGTAGAGTGAGCGATGTGGAGATAGACTCCAATGATTAAACAGGTATTTGAATACTGTTACCTTTGTACATATGTAAATAATTATCTGTTTTATCTGTAGATATAATCTTGGTGTATGTATTTTCTAGGTGTGTGAACAGATATTTGGATTTCTTTACTGTATATCAGAACTTCACCTTTTGTACAAGTGAAAGAGTAGTCTGTTCTTGTTGGCATGATTGTCGAGTTATCGACTCTCAGTTTCTTCCTCTCATACAGTTATTTGCATGAAGGCAATTGACAGGAAATTTACGTCTGAAAATTGATTTGAATCTATTCCTCGGTATTTAAAACTATATGTACGAGATAAAGAGATGTATAAGCTCGCGAAAGCGTCAAACATGGCACGCAAGCTAGAGTCTATACAGCATTCACATGTAGCAATTCGTTACGCTTCATGATCAGCTTGCAATGCGAAAACTGTTGATTTTAAAGGGTTATTAATATGTACAACAATATGACAAAGTAAGTAATGTTCATTGTACATATCAGCTTCGGACACGGTGAGTAAACTGGAATTTCGGACATTTGGCTGATAAGCTTAACGCCAGCTGAGGTATTATAACGCCAGCTGAGGTATTATCGGCTTCTTTAATTAACATCTTGTTTATTAATTAATTCATGAGATTAAATGTGAAATAGTATTTCCAGAAAATCCGGCGTGTTTACTTTCATTTTACCGACTGAATTATATCTTATGTCACCCATTATCTGTTTCATTATAAAACTCAAGTCCTTTAGTCTCTAAACACGACCATAAATATAAAAGTCTTAATGCATAACATAAACAGTAAAGGGCTATTAGTGAACGAGTGTTCAGGCCTAAGAAACTTCCAAATGAGTTCTATTTTTATGAATATTGATGGCCATAATGATATCGTCGCCTTGCTTACTTATCGGTTGCTTTCTTACGAGTTAACAAACAAAGACGAGTTTACTTACAAAGAAATGAACCATTTGCTCTAAAACGTATGTGTTATGTTTAACGTAGAATATTAACTGACTAGTTATTTAATGTTTTGTTTTCACTTTACATGTATGATGATGTTGTTAAGAGAGTATGATTACTATTGAACCGTTAGATAAATTAGAAGAATTACAGTTTCATTACGCGTATGCTGTTGAACGTATATATGTAATGTTTAAATTACCTTGGTATATATCAAAGTAAATGTTTTCACGGATCCAAATGTGTTGTTTTTACTTCCTGCTACATATTTCTATACCACTTTTTCGACCAAGAGTTTGAACGAGGTGGAAATGTTAGTGACATTTACTATAATTGAAAGATTTTGTGGCGAGGTAATTGGAAGTGAAGGCAGAGGTATTTTAATGTTGGGGAAATGAAATTATGGGGATAAGATGAGTCTGAAAAGGTTTGCTAGGTAAATATTGCAAAGGTATGTTAAAGGGAGATTTACGGGTTTGTAGAGAAGACACCGGAAGGATTTATAGTCGAAGCCTTAAGAGTTTGCAGATAATTAAGTAGTGTTAATCGAAGCTTTAAGAGTTTCTAGACAGTTTAAGAATTGATAGTGGAAGCATTACATTTTGTAGACAGTTTAAGTATTGATAGTCGCAACTTAACATTTTGTAGACAGTTTAAGTAGTGATAGTCGCAACTTTATATTTTGTAGACAGTTTAAGTAGTGTTTGTTGCAATTTGTCATTTTGTAGACAGTTTGAGTAGTGTCAGTCGCAACTTTACAATTTGTAGACAGTTTTGATAGTGGTAGTCGCAGCTTTAAGAGTTTATAGTTTAAGTAGTGTTATTGGAAGCTTTATAAACACCGAAAGCTTGAGTAGTTGGAGCTTTGATAGTGTGTAATAGAGAATAGACATTGGAAATGTGGACGGGGGGACATTGGAATTGTAAGCAAGCAGACGGAGTGTTTGGAAAGGTTCGGAGTTAGCTACCTATATTCTAGAATTAAATGTCTAAAACAGGAAAGAATCAACTTGTCTTTTTCCTTTCCACATGTAGGTAGTCGCGAGTAGGCTATATATTAAGTACACAAATGTATTACATGTAAGTCTGCGTTGATAATATTTCCAAATAGATATAAAGATGTTGGCGTATTATCATAGCTATCATTAGTATCAAACTACAACTTTACTTCAAATGAAATAGCGAACCACTTCTCTTAGAAAGGTGTAATGTGTATATCATCAAAAAAATAAAACATGCAGAACAAAACTGCAACACTGATACATATACTAAAATCTATACTGTGGTCTTGTACCCTGTCCGTGCCCCTACTGAAGTACTGTAGATTTCTATTTATGGATTCAAAGTTGATACCATACGGAATTAATTGTAAAATGCTGTAAAATACACTTCAGAAATGATTATATTGCTTGCTATCGTAATTCTTTACGGTGTTGTGTGAAGACAAAGTAAAGGAGCATCATAAAGCCAACGTCGTTATCCATAACGTCAAGTAATGTAAACGACGTCAAAATGACGTCAGATTTTTCTTCTACTAAACATTTTCCAAATAGATGCTATTTTTATCTGGATTACCAGTTGATGCCAATATTTAGATATTCGGTTTCTTGAATATTTTGGCAGTAATATTATATCGATTTTATATATTTTCTCTCGTGTTCATTTTTAGCTCACCTGGTCCGAAGGACCATGGTGAGCTTATGCCATACCGTAGAGTCCATCGTCCGTCGTCCGTAAACTTTACACTACTAGTCATGAACCACTAAACGGATTTTAACAAAATTTGGTATGGAGCATCCTTGGGTGAAGAAGAACCAATTTTGTATAAACTGTGGGTCTGGCCCCACAGGGGCCTGAGGGGCGGGGCCCAATAGGGGAAATATAGCAAATTCTTCTTTAAAATCCTTCTTCTACTGTAGGAATGAAAGGATTTGTTCCATATTTGGTCTAAAGCATCCTTGGGTGAAGGGGAACACATTTTGTATACACCGTTGGTCTGGCCCCCTAGGGGCCTGAGGGGCAGGGCCCGATAGGGGAAACATAGCAAATTATTCTTTAAAATCCTTATTCTTCTGTAGGAATAAAAGGATTTGATCCATATTTGGTGTGGAGCATCCTTGGGTACAGAGGGACCCATTTTGTATAAACGATGGGTCTAGTCCCCATTGGGGCTTAGGGGCGGGGCCCCATAGGGGAAATATAGCAAATTCTTTAAAATCCTTCTTCTTCTGTAGGACTGAAAGGATTTGGTCCATATTTGATCTGAGGCATCTTTGGGTGAAAGGGATCCAATTTTGTATAAACCGTGGTTCTGGCTCCCCAGGGGACTGAGGGGCGGGTCCCAATAGGG